CCGAAGGAAGGCATCATGAGCTGCTGGTTGAGCTAGGAGACGAAGATGACCGACGCCTCGGCCTCAACGGCACCCGGCAGCCACTGGCACGAAGAAGCGCCCTCGCAGCCGACGCGGCACCAAGGCGCGCCGTGCGCTTCGCCGCGGCGAACCGCGCGGGGGGCGGAGAGCCGCGGGCGGCGCTCGCGCAGGCGCAGTGCACGATGACGACGCCGAAGGCGACGCGGTCGAGCTCGACCACTGAGACACGCAGCCCTAGCCTGCAAAGGGCAGTCGCTGGACGAGGGAAGCCCAGCTCAGCCCCCATCGCATGCCGATACCGCGGGCGCGCGAGGTAGCGATGAAGAGCACCAAGCGCACGAGCGCAACCGAATCCGCAAGGTAAACGACAATGCGGCTGCAGGACACGGTGCGAGGCAGCCCGGCCGTTGGCGACCGTCTCGACGCACGCAGGGGCCCGGGGCATAGAGCAGCCGCGTTGGTACATGAGAAGGTCGCCCACATCGCCGCTGGGGGCGAGCGAGCGACCGTCGCGGTGCATCTCGGGAAAGGCGCGCGCCAATCCGACCACGAAGCAGTTCCACAGGGGGCGTGGGGGACGCGGGCCCTTGTCGATGAAGGCAGTGGTCATGCGCTGTAGGCACTTGGACTTCGGCGCGGAGGCAGTCCGACTGTCTGCGGCATCGGCGGCGGCCGCGAGGCGGTCGCGAGCGCGCCGTGGAAAGCGCGGGGACGCGTCTCAGGAAAGCACGCTCTCAAGCGTCTCGACGAAGGCCTCCGACCCCCAGGACGGCGGGCAAGGCGCCGCGGCAGCAACCTGCAGGAACGCCCTCTGGTCACCAGATGATCACGTTGCTGCCGCATCCACTGGGGCAGCCTCCGACGCGCGACGCACGCGCCGGGGTGCCGATGCCCAGGGCAAGCCAAGACGGCATCGACGGTCCACGGGCAAACCGAGGCTGGAACCATGCCGCAGCGCTGAAGACGCCCGAGAGAACGCGGGAATTGCGCGCCATCACCACCGGCTCTTTTCTGAGCAGCCAAGATGGCACCATGCGAAACTGCGACGCACGAGAGAAACGACTCGACCCTGGTCGCGCAGTTGGCGGCGAGACGCGACACCGCGAGAGAGTTCGAGCCCGCGTCCCTCGATCGGAGCCTGACCTTCAGACTGGGTGCGAGCAATCAAGAGAGCTTTCGTCGGCAGCCGGGCACAAGACCAGGCCGCATTAGACCTAGGCGCCCACGGCGCGAGCCGCGCGATGTCCCGGGAGAACGGCGCGCGCGGCGGGGCCCGCGGGCTCGCGGTCAGCTTCAGCGGGAGGGCCGCCACGACTGGAACTGGCGAGCGACGAAGCCACGTCGCCAGAGCAAGCTCGGAGGAGCCCGGGCTGCGGAGCTTCATCGAGCCTGGAGGTCGAAGAGAAAGCGCGCGGCGACAGCTGCACGGATCGATCAACATAACGAGAATCCTTGCGCGATGCCAGAGGAGACCCACCACGCATGAGTAGGAAGCCCTTTCACCATCACCATCGCCTCGAGGCGGTGGTAGAGCTGTTCCAAGATAGCCACGAAAGCGATCGGCGCGCCCATCTTCGGGGTGGCAATCACCGCGAAGGCCTGCGAGAGGCCTGGAAAATGCCGCGCCGAAGCCGAGGGAGACCCCAGCGGGTAGATCCGCAGAAGACGAGGGGAGGTTTGAAAACGCGCGCACCGCCGCGTTCAGCCCGAGAATGATGAGGCCAAGATTCCTGCTCGGGGCGAAGCCGCGTTGGGACGGGGACCCATTGCTGTAGGAGTTGGCTGACATGAGCGTTGGCGCCGGCGGTGATCGGCGCGATGTCGGCGCCCCTCCAAGACCCGCGCCGAGGACGGAGCGCACGCGCAGCCCGATGCCGCGGAGCCGTCGACCTCCCCACTTCCCGGGAGCCAGACCAGGAGCGCGTCGTTCGAGCTGTTGTAGAGAGCCCTGCCGCTCATGATCCAGATCATGGCGTCTGCAGACACCGCGCACGGCCTCCGTCGTCAGCCGCCGAGGCTGAGTCGGGCGCGGAACCCAGGCGGGGCTCGGCGACATGCACCCTGTGGGCCGGGCGCCGAAACAGAGCAGGAGACGGCGGGGCGATCTTGTCAAAAGCGAGCGGCGGCACGAGTTGGGGGACGCATTTGCGAGCAAGGGCGGCGCGCGCGGGCATGGCGGTGAACGCGGGCGCACGGTGCTCGACGGGCCTCTCCGCCACCAGCACAGGGTCGGCCGTAGAATCCGCAAAAGGAGCAGCGCGCGCAGCGCGAAGGACGAGACGGCGGTTCAATGGCGACCACATCGCAGCATACTCTTCAACGCTTACAGTTGGCAGTGGAGGAATGCGGTGGCCCGCGGGCGGGCTGTCCTTCTGCTCGAGCACTACGAGCGCCCGCACGCTGCCTTTGGACACCCTCGCCCCACTGCCGAAAGGAAGCCGCATGGCGCAGAAGCACCTGATCTTCGCGAACCTCCAGAAAGTTATGGGCTGACAGCTGGTTACGCATCAGAAGCCGAGCAAGTCCGACATCGCCGCGCCACGTCGTCCTGGCGATCTGGCGCGGCGCCAGCAACAGGGCAGCGGGGGCCTCGGGCGCGTCTCTGAAGGCCTGGCTCCCGACATCCTTGGCGACCTCAAGCGCAGCCCATTTGCGAAGCTCGATGTGGCGAGGAGGGGGTGTGTCGTCGTAGTCCAGCAACATCGCCACCGTCTCCAGCTGCCCGTGAAACTGCGACGACCCACATATGTGCCGAGGAGAACGTGGCGCGCGATGCGGCTTGCGACGCCTTTGGTTCAAGTTCAAGGCGCGGGCGGCGGGGCCGCGGGTGAATTTATCGGCCAAGTCCGCGGGGCAGCCCTTCAGGGGCGGCCCCACCGTCATTTGAATCAGAACCCATCGTGGCCAACTGATCCACGACCTGTCGAGCGTCGAGACAGCGCGAGCGCCCATCGTAGCGCGTCGCCGCGCCCGAAGGGACCTCCGCGAGGTAACGCAAGATCTCGCGCCATCTAGCAGCGCGAGCGCGTCGTACTTCACCTGGGGCACTAGGCCCTCGAAGGCGAAAAAAAAGAAAAGAACCTTGAGATGAGAAATCGGGATCGCCGCGAACCACAAGAACATCACGCAGAGGGTCCGCCAGAGTGCGCCGCAAGTCTGCTGCGCAAGCCTTCGCCACCGAGCACAGCTGCCCAGTGGAGAGATCGCGATTGCGAGCGCTGTGCAGAAAGAGGCGGGGCCCGTGATGGTGTCGTGCTGTTCGCAGTACCCGGCCACGGTGATGGAGTAGCTGTGCCCGGCCATGAACCCGGGGGCAATGAGCGACCTCGGCTTCGCAACTAACAGGGAGAGCAATACCCGCGCCACCGTCAACCGCCGAGCCCACGCAGAAGCTGGCGAAGACACGGACGCCAGGGGCGGCTTTGGCAAGGAAGTCGACGAGCTGGGCCTCGCCCAGGTGGAGCTCCTGGAGCGCGACGATGCCCCTCTTGAATTCAAGACGCTAGATGCAGCCGAGCCCAAGCTTGCTGCGAGCGCCGTGGCACTGAAGAAACGCCCGCGCACTCCATTCTGAGTATGTGAGGACAGCGCCCCCTAGCGAACACCATGGGTCATCGCTGAAAACGGGGCAAAGGCTCCACACTGCAACCTCAGGAAGCGCAACTGCCGCCATGACGACAGCCTCGGGTCCCCCCTGGGAAGGACCAACTTCTGCACGACATTTGTCGGCACGCGAGATGTCGGAGGCAACGTTGCCAGGGCGGGGCGAGATGCGCGGCCATGGGCCCTGGCCAGCCGCGATGCATCCACGGTCCTTGTCGAAGAACCAGCGCCTCGAACTGTCGATCTTGCGGAAGCCCTCTCTGATACTGCGGCCTTGGACCCTCATATTGATCAGCCGAGGGTTCTCGCTGGGGCCCGCGCAAAAGGAAGCATGTCCGCCGGTAGCCACCACCTCGAAGCGCTTCCACTGGCCAGCGGCGCAGCGCTGGGCGCCAAGACTCTCGGACACTCGGCAGACCGCGGGAGCAGCAGCACCAGTAACACGGATAGCGAAGAGGCGGCCGACGTCCTCGGCGGAGGCGGTGTTGAAGCACCGCGTGCGCCTCGGCGCCAATCTAGGAGATCCAATCGGAGAGCGCCTGCTTAACGGCGTCAAGCTCAACCAATGTCGATGCCATGGGAGGGGCGATCGTTGAGTCGACCTCCCTCTCGAATCCCGCGGCACTGGCAGGCGGCCGCTTGGGCTGGATGTTGGCGACGGCCAAGGCGGCGCGTCATTCCTTGATCTGGTCCCAAAGCGCGTTGGGAATAGTGTCGCGTTCGCCGAGCAGGAGCGCATCCGCACTGAGTGCTCACAAACTTAATCCTGGAACCGATGCTGGAAGGCATCGAGCTTCTCGATACCAAACTGCTCAGACGCACCCCTTGCAGTCCCTGGGGGAGACCAGACTCCCTCTGACAGCTTCGTAGCAGCAGCCGCAGCGTGGTCAGCAAGCTGAGCGGCGAAGTCCTGCACCTGCTCCGAAACCGCGGCGGCGACGACAGCGGCGAGGTCGCAGACAAGCTCGTCGCGGTGCTGGGCCATCTTGGCGCCAAGCTCCTCGGCAGCGAAGCGGCGGAGGTACATGAATTTCTTCGGCATCGCTCTTCCCTGCAGCATCTTCACCGACAGCACTGTCGGCAGCACGAGAACCAGAGCAGCAGACGCGCCGTGGAGATCACAAGCAGGAAGAGCGTCGCCAGCGCTGTCTCGAGCCTTCTTCCTCCTCCGAGTGCCAGGCTGGAGCCCTGCCCAGCTCCGCAAAGGAGAAGGAGGAGGAGGAGGAGGAAGAAGAGCGGGGGAGAGGTCGAGGAGCGGGGAGGAGGTCGAGGAGGAAGAAGAGCGGGGGAGAGGTCGAGGAGGAAGAAGAGCGGAGGAGGAGCGAGGCGTCTCGATGGGGGAGGCTCGACGGAGGCCGAGGGAGCGGACCAGCCGCCTCGCTGCCGTGGACGTGGAGTCCGTCCGCAGCGGCCGCTTGGACTGCCACGCCCCCGCCGGGGGGCCCGGCGCGGGGTGGCCCCGCGCCGTGGAGCTGCTCGGATCGGGCGCGGGCGGGCGGTCCTCGGCGGGCCCCCGTGACGTCCTCCTCCCACCCCTCTCTTCCCCTCCTTCCCAGTCGTTCCCATCCCTCTTCCGCTTTTCCCCCTCCTTCCCCCTCCCTTCCCCTCCTTTCCCCTCCTTTCCCCTCCTTTCCCCTCCTTTCCCCTCCTTTCCCCTCCCCCCATCCTTCCCCCCCTTTTCCCCTCCTCCCCAGTCTCTCCCACCCCCCTCCCTCATAAACAGACCCTGCCCCGCCGCACCCGGCAGGGCCGGTCGACAGGCCGGGCCACGCGCCTCGCCCCTCGAGACTTCCGCACCACCGACGATCCCGAGGCTAAAGCTTCCACAAGAGTCACGGATGAAGGCGTCATGGAGGAGGAGGAGGAGGAGGAGGAGGAGGAGGAGGAGGAGGAGGAGGAGGAGGAGGAGGAGGAGGAGGAGGAGGAGGAGGAGGAGGAGGAGGAGGAGGAGGAGGAGGAGGAGGATGAGGAAGGCGTATCGCCGTAGCGCTGCGCGCCGTCGCGTCGTGATCTGCGGGGGCGTCACGGACGCAGGGCGGCCCGGTTTCCAGAAAGGTGGTCCTCGCCGCAGCGCCGCGCAGACTCGTGTCAAAAGCTTGGATAAGCTTCGCGGATGCCCTTGTCGACATCGAATGCGGCTCTCACCTTAGCGCCGCGCGCGTTCGCGTTGAGAGTTCGCAGCAAGTTCAAGGACTCCCATGCTCAACACCCCACAACGGCTGTCTTCCAACGGGCACTCCCCTCAATGAACATGAACCGTCGTGAAGGCCTGTGAAGACGGAAATTGGAGGGAGGGTGCATTGCAGTAACATCGTTGACGACTCTTGTGTGTACACTGGTCGTCCTTCTCCTCCTCCTCCTCCTCCTCCTCCTCCTCCTCCTCCTCCTCCGCCTCCTCCTCCTCCTCACCCTCCCTCCTCCTCTTTCTCCCCTTCCTTCTTCTCATCATCCTCGTCGATCCTTCTCCTCCTCCACCTCCCCCTCCTCCTGCTCCTCCTCCTCCTCCTCCTCCTCCTCTTCCTCCTCATCCTCCTTCTCTTCCTCCTCTTTTTCTTGCGTTGGGCAGATTTTGAGCGGAGTTCGTAGCGTCGTTCCTCCTCCTCCTCCTACTCCTCCCCATCATCATCATTATCATCATCATCATCATCATCATCATCATCATCATCATCATCAGCATCATCATCATCATCATCATCATCATCATCATCATCAACAGCAGCAGCAGCAGTAGCATCATCATCATCAGCAGCAGCATCATCATCAACATCAGCATCATCATAAACACCTATCAGTTGTCCTTATCCGCCGCCGTGCCTGCGAGGCACGAGTTGGAGTGTCACCAGGTCCATTGCTCAATCCCCTGGGCCTTAATCAACAATCCTGAGGACCGTTGAAAGGCCCCTGTCCGAGTGCCCCACATGGGCTGCTGAATGCCAAATACTCAGTAACTGATAGGAGACTCGCTCTTGACCCTGCGAGGAGCTATGGCACAGCCACGCCCCATCTTCGTCAGCATAGCATTCATTTACGAAGCGGAAAGATGACTCGCACCCCTCCTCGCCCGAGGCCGTGAGTGGCCTCGAGCGCAAACATCCTTCGAAAGTGCTCACTCACTTGCGTCCCTCGCTACAGGCTGTGGAAAGCGCCCGCTCGGCTGGCCCAGGCGCGAAGGCACATGTAGTATTACCGTATCGGTTCCATGCTGCATGGCTCTGGGCTCGGCTCCGCTGTGCACAAGGTCGACTCATCAGGCCCCCGCCCCGAGAAGCGCCACGTTGTCGGCACACCGAACAGCCGCAATCACCTGGAAAGTCTCTGCCCTGTCGAACCTCTCGTAGCCCCTCGCGGTGTGTCGGGTCATGGGCAGCATGCCCATCAGCTCGTGGTGCTTCCTCGGATCCAGAGCTTTCGTCATGAGGTCGGCGACGCCGATTTGTGCACCGCTCTTCTCGGCGGTCACCTTGCCGTCGTGAACGTCCGCCTGCAGCCAGAGGCGTCGCGCGTCCAGGTGCCCAATTCGCCACACGCCGAACCTTGAGCAGATGCCCATGGCAGCCGCGCTGTCGCTCTCAATGGCGACGGCCCTGTTCATGCCCATCTCTTCGGGCAAGTCCATGGTGACGATCCCGCTGGCCGGGCCATTGGTCGTCTCCACGGTCTCTGCATCTCCGCTGCTCAGGCCCCCGAGTCGCCGGCGGCCTGCCCAGCTGCCTATACAAGAACATCAAAGAAGCTTGAACCGCCTCACCGACTGCGGCGGCTGACTTGGTATCCTGCCACGTCTGAGCCCGCCGCGATCGCGATCTCGCGCGGCATAACCGCTTGAGCTCTAGCAAAGATAACTCCTGGGGTCCCTGCACGCCGCGCATGATCGAC